CCATCTTCTCTTTTTCTTCTTTTTTTTTATCCCACTTTCTGACACCAATTTGTTACTCTCTGTTCGCTAGTTAATTTTCCGTAAATTCGTTTCGACGAAACTTTAGCGACACAAGTCCTTTCTTAAATAAAACTGGTTTATTCTTTCCGAATACAACTTTACGATATACTTAATTTCAACAGTCACTCTATAACAACGCTATAACTCACGTCTCACGTGGCCAACAATATTTTATCCGCATACATTCAATTACTCATTACCTCTCCGTCGCTTCGTGGCCGGTCTTATATATACAAGACTACACTATATCTAAAAAGATCACGAGATTTAAGGAAAAGACGTGAAAGTTCGAGAATGACGTGGTGTGATACTAGTCACGTGACCTCGATGTCGTAACAGTATCAAACACAGGGCCATCTGACCAGTGGTTGTTGCATCAGTTACATCATTAATCTAAAACAAAAGGTGAGATTGATGAAAAGAGGATTATTTTAACGATCATGTTCTCACAGATTCCAGTCAGCTCCTTTTGTATATCTGAAGAGGTGTGCTTAGTTTGAGGATCAAATGATCTTTAAAAATTTGAGTAGAAGAAATTGCGGGAACATTCTTCGTGAAACCTATGGGCTTAATTGTACTTGCCACATAAAACCACAGTGTCGACAGTACTTTAAAGTACCTGTCAGTTTTTTCTACAACAATGCATACATTGCCTCTGTTCTTACCTGTCCTAATATAAATGAAGTTCGGCACAGTCTCCGACGATCAGATGAACCATCGACTTACCGTGTTGCATATGATCTTCGTGATGTTACTCCAATCACTCAGTGGATTTGTTGTAAGCAGTTTAAAAGTGTATCTATAAAATTTGTCGAATAAACGCAATCAATTACATGCATCCGACGTGCTAACAAGAATAAATACAGTATACACAACCTGTTAGCGTTGCACGTTGTAAATGTATGTGTATGTATGAAACAAATCATAGATTGATTTGAAAAAAGAACCACCAGTTTTACTATTACGTATCGCGTGATCTGCAAAAATGACGTAAACACTGACTGAAATCTTTAACTGACGCCAGTAAAGAGAAAGATCTCGTTGACGTATTGCGTTAACTAAATTCGCAAGATTTGCAAAAAATGCGCATATTTTAATATTACATAAACGTTATCAACTGATAAACGCATTAGTATCTCCCGTTCTAAGATAATCTAAAACTATCACCAAATAATTTACAGTTGATTTTTTCTGAGTACTAGACCTACGAAATCTGCTCCAATGACTCGGGTCTAAGTTAGACCTATGAAATACAATTAATATCTCCGGTTCTAAGATAATATAAATCTATCACCAAAGAATTTACAGTTGCTTTTTTCTAAGTACTAGACCTACGAAATCTGTGCCAATGACTCGGGTCTAAGTTAGACCTATGAAATATCATTATATGGGATGGTAAAAGTGGTTTTCATGGTGATTAATCAAATACATTTTATCTAAACCCACTGGTTAGGATACCAGTGATAAAAGTATCTAGGTGGCTTCGGCACTTTAAACATACTTAATGAATAGTTCTCGTTGTACATTATTTACCTGCTCAAAAATGAGTAAAAATGTGATAACTTTCACATTTTCATGTCAACAGCGTCATGCGTTGGTTATTACCAACAACTGCTTGGTTAGATCTTGTGATAATATAGACATATGGTGGTTCTGTCTCGCCCGAAGCCATGATTTTGAAAATTACCACCTTATAAACAAAACATTCGGATAAAAAGCAATTATGCAGTAAAAAACTGACGTGTATAAGGGGAAGTTTATTATGTAATTCTCTGCAAACTGCCAAAATGTAATTAGGAGTAATGAAATTTATCATATAGAAATGTTTATTACTGTTGAATTTAGCATTTTATATCATAGCAATTCATGTCTTGAACTGTCATATCTGTGCACTTTTTGTGTTGTGGAGACAAAACTTGATCCTCATATGCAGGAAATTACGAGAAAAGAAACGTTCAGTTGCATTTTTATTTTTGTATGTTGTGAAACTTAAATTTAAAACTTGACCTTCATATTAATCATATATAAGAAGTTACGAGAACATTCCTGTACCTTTGTAAATTGTGGAACTTTTATACTTTTATAACTTGGTCGTCGTATGAAATAAATTTTGAGTAAAAGGTGTTTAGTGCCTTCTAATCGACTTACATTTTGTAAAACATTTAAATATAAAAATTTATTTTCATACGCATGAAAGTTTTTAAAAATATACCATATGCGAGAAATTATAAAAGAAAAGGTTTCAAGAAATATCATGCTGTATATCTGTG